ATTTTTATGTCATTCACAGCATGCTCTTTCTATTCCAATCCTTTAAATGTTAGTGACCCTGAGAATTTTCCCATTGGCCCTTTTCTTTTCTTGTCCTCTTACTTCCTCTTTTCCTATTCTTTTTGGAGTCCCCTCATGCTCATAGACTTCTGAAATAATCTCTTCCAATTGTATAACTCACTATGAAATCTATATTAAAAGTCCACAAAGTTCTATTTTCAGCTCAGACATCTCTCTAGGGCTCTACTATTGCCTATTCACATGTGAACGCTCACAGTCTCCTTTCTCCACAGAACCCTTATACATACCACACATGATGAGCACAGAGCATATAAATCAGATCTCCCTCCCAATTCCCTGTTTCAGCAGATGAATGACCAAAAACCATGTGTGTTGCCTGACACATGGACTCCTCTCTGACTTCTCAACCCCATTTTCAATCCTTACCATGTGTTGTAAATTCTACTTCTTAAATAGCCTAAATTGATGATGAATTTATACCTTCTCGTCAGCTTTACCCCTAGAAACACATTTCTTCCCTGTATCCTGTCCACCAACTCTTAGCTTGCCTTCGTGTCTCTATTTTTGCCTCTTCCAGTCCCTTCTTAGAGTCACATCCTTCATCTTTCTACAAATATATATCTTCTCATATCCCTCTCTATCTTAAAATTCTAAGATTTAAGCATATGGATAAATCTAAACTTCCTAGCTCTAAAATGCAAGACAACTTATGATTTTGCCTCTGCCTAACTTGCAGCTCACCATTATAAATCTTTTCCTTCTTCATTCTGAGTTTCTTTTTCTCTTTTTGTTTTGTTTGTTTTTGCCACCTTCCATCCCACCTGCAACACTGAGTTTTCTATTCACATGCTGTTTCCAGGTCTGATACACCCTCCCCCTCACATTCACCTAGTTAGTGGAGAAAGCTGTATGTTTTTCTCACTATTCGTGATGGTCCATTTCATGTGTCAACTTGGCTAGACTATAGAGCCTAGTTATTCAATCAAACACTAATCTAGGTGTTGCTGTAAAGTATTTTGTAGATTTGATTAACGTCTATAATTAGTTGACTTTACATGAGGGTGATTAACCTGGATAATCTGGGTGAGCTTCATCCAAGTAGTTGGAAGGCTTTAAGAGCAAAACTGAAGTTTTCCTGAGAAAGCAAACCCCCCCCCTGTGAGCTGCATCACCCCTGGTTGGGTTGTTCAGTTTGCCCTTCCTAATGATCCACCCTACAGATTCTAGATTCGCACAGTCAGTCCCCACAATCACATAAGTCTCATTTTACACACATACACACATACACACACACACACACACACACACACACACACACACACACCCCACATTCTACTTATTCTGTTTCTCTGTTGAAACCCTGGCTGATACACTACTCATGCCTCTCAATCTGACATTCTGCATGCAGAAGACAGTATTATAATAAACACTTAGGCTTTCTCTCTCTCTTTCTCTCTCTCTCTCTCCCCTTCCAACTGTACCCCCAATCCACTCTTTTCTAAGGAAGAAGTAGTGACTATAGTGACCAATTAAAAGAACCAGAGCTGGTATTCTGTGGCTCATGCTGTTTTATTAATGAGTGGAGCTACTCTGTCTTGTAACCTGAAACAAAACTGGCATCCTGCTGAAGCATGTACACCTGGGTGGGATGCTGCTGTGCTTGTGGCTTAGATATGATTTATTTGATCCCTGCCAAGTCCCCTGCTGAAATGTGATGCTCAATGTTGGAGGTGGGGCTGATGGGAGGTGTTTTGGTCACGTGGGTAGAATCCATCATGAATAGCTTGGTGCCATTCTCATGGAAATGAACGAGTTATTGCTTGATTAGTTCTTATGAGAACTGATTGTTAAAAAGAGCTTGGTACCTCCCTCCCTTCTCTCACTTCCTCTTTCCTCTGCATGTGCTCTGCACATGCCAGCTCTCCTTCACCTTCCACCACGAATGGAAGCAGCCTAAAGCTCTCACCAGAAGCAGATGCTGGCAATATATTTCTTGTACAGTCTGCAGAACTGTAAGTTAAATACACCTATTTTCTTTATAAGTTCCCCAGCCTAAGGATTCCTTTATGGCAACACAAATGGACTAAAACATAAGATTGGTACCAAGGAGGGGGTGTTGCTGTAAAGATATCTGAAAATGTGGAGCAGCTTCAGAACTTGGAAGAGTTTGGAGGGATTGGAAAAAGAAAGACAAGGGAAAGTGAAATTTATTAGAGAATTTGGTTAAGTGGTTGTAACCAAAATGTTGGTAGAAATATGGACAGTGAAGGCCAAGCTGACAAGGTCTCAGATGGAAAAGAGGAACTTACTGGGAACTGGAGCCAAGGCCACTCTTGTTACACTGTAGCAAAGAACTTGGCCACATTGTGACCATGTCCTAGAGCTTTGTGGAAGGCAAGTTTAGAAATCTTAAAATCAGCCTTCCACAAGGTTCACTTAAACTCAGTTGGAAAAATTTTCCATCATGAGGTTCAACATACTGCCATATGCTCCTACCCGAGCCTTACATAAGGCCAAAGCTTGCTCACCTGAGCCATTGCTGAGACCTTTCTCTTTCTGAATCCTGAGAAGTGAAGACCTCTGCCTGCCATGTGCTTCTCCTCCCAAACTTGCAGTGTCTGTGGATTTCTTTAGCTCATTCTGGCTGACATAACCTCCCCAAACTTGTTACTTAGTGGTCCCTGAGAAATAATGAACCCAGAAGCTTTTCCTTTTGTCAATATTCTGGTGTCTAAGCAGCTAATCATTCAAGAAGTGCCATAGCTAGTTTTAGCAGCTTATGATCAGATATAGGAGCAAATAAATGACCTAAAGTTGGAATTTGTAATTAAAATGCAGAGTGTGAAAATTTGGAACAACTTGCTGCAGAGATTAGCAAGAATAAAATGGAATCAGGTGCTAACAGTCAAGACAATAAGGAAAAGGTTCTGAACGCACTTCAGAAATCTTTGAGGCTACCCTTTCCATGATAATCCCAGAGACCAGGCTGGGCGTGGTGGCTCATGCCACTAATCCCAGCAATTTGGGAGGCAGATCACAAACAAGGTCTAGATATTGAGACCAGCCTGCCCAACATAGTGAAACCCTATCTCTATTAAAAATACAAAAATCAGCCGGGCGTGATGACGCACACCTGTAGTCGCAGCTACTCGGTAAACTGAGGCAGGAGAATCGCTTGAACCGGGAGGCAGAGGTTACAGTGAGCCAAGATCATGCCACTGCACTCCAGCCTGGTGACAGAGCGAGACTCTGTCTCAAAAATAATAATAATAATAAAATATAACCCCAGAGGCCTAGGAGGACAGGACAGTTCTGGGGAACTTGTCCAGAGTGTCACTGCCCTGTGCCATTTCAGGATGCTGCTCCCTATCTCTCACTCCAGCTCCAGCCATAGCTCAAAAGGACCCCAGGTGCTGTGCAGGCTGCTGCTCCAGAAGGCACAAGCCATAAGCTCTGGCAGCTTTCATATGGTGTTAAATCTGTAGGCTCCCAGAATTCAGGAGTGATGGAGACTTGGCAGCTTCTAGCTAGATTTCAGAGGATACATAGAAAAGCCTGGGTGCCCAGGTAGAAGCCTGACACAGGAGCCCATGCAGATAACCTCTACAAAGGCAATGCTAAGCAGAAATATAGAGTTGGAGCTCCCACAGAGAATGCTTTCCAGAATCCTGCCTAGTGGAGCTGTGGAGAAGGCTGCCATGCTTGAGACCCCAGAAAGATAGAGCCACTGGCAGCATGCACCCTCAGCCTGGATGCCACAGGTACCAGACTCCTACCCATGAGAGCACCCACATGGGCTCACCCAGCAATGCCATGGGGAGGTGGATGCCCAAGACACTGGGAGCCCACGTCTCACACCGGTGAGCCCAGGATGTGGGACATGAGGTCAAAGAAGATTATTTTGGGGCTTTAAGAATTAATTTCTTGGTTGGGCACAATGGCTCACACCTGTAATCCCAACACTTTGGGAAACTGAGATCAGAGAACTGCTTGAGGCTAGGAGTTCGAAATCTGCCTGAGCAAGACAGTGAGACCCCATCTGTACAAATTTCTTTTTCTTTTTCAATTAGTCAGGTGCAGTAATGCACACCTGCAGTCCCAGATACTCAGGAGATGGAGGTGGGAGGACTGCTTGAACTTGGGGGGTTGAGGCTGCAGTGAGCCATGATCATACCGCTGCATTCCAGTCTTGGTAACAGAGCAAGATTATGCTTCAAAAAAATAAAAGAAGAAGAAGATTTAATGCCTGCCCAGCTGACTAGTGTGGGGCCTATTGACCCTTTCTTTTGACTGATTTCTCCCTTTTGAAATGGAAATGTTTACCCAATGTCTGTATCACCATTACATCTTGGAAGTAAATAACTTGTCTTTTATTTTACAGGCTCACAGCTTAAGAAGCTTGCCTTGAGTTTCAGATGAAACCTTACACTTTGGACTTTTGAGTTGATGCTAGAAGAAGTTAAGATTTTTAAGGACTAGTAGAATGCACGATTGTATTTTCCATGTGAGAAAACATGAGATTTGGAAGACCAGGGGCAAAATCCTGTGGTTTGGGTATGATTTGTTTGGCCCCACCAAGTCTCATATTGAAATTTGGTCCCAGTATTGGAGGGGGGCCTGATGGGAGGTGTTTGGCTTGTGGGGGCAGATCCCTCATGAAAGGCTTGGTGCAGTTCTCATGTAATGAATGAGTTCTCGCTCTATTAGTACTTATGACAGCTGGTTGTTTAAAACAGCCTGGCACCTTCCTCCCCTCTCTTGTTTCCTCTCTTGCCATATAATCTCTGCACACACCCGTTCCCCTTTGCCTTCCACCATGAGTAAAAGCTTCCTGAAGCCCTCACGAGGGACAGATGCAGGTGCCATGCTTTCTGTGCAGTCTGCAGAACAAGGAGCCAAATAAACCTCTTTTCTTTACAAATTATTCAGCCTCAGGTATTCCTTTATAGCAATACAAACAGGCTGGCACTGACACGTACCTGGGACCAACAACCTGTCTTTTACAGGCAAGCTTTTGGTCCTTGTTTATGGAGCTATTTGGGTCAAAGGATCAGCCATTCATTTGACCAGTTTTAGCAGAAGGCAGGATCTCCATGCCTCCAAACTAGATGATCAGCTTACTTTTTCACTCTCACATGCTCAGGAGAAGTGTGAGCTTTCTTCTAGCTTCATTGGTTACAGTGAGTGAGATGGAGGCCACACTCCTCTCTCTGTTCCAATTCTTTTGCTGCTTACAGTGCAGATCATTACGGCACCTCTGGAATGACAAGGCCAAGGAATCTGGACCTATCAATCATAGGCCCCCAGCAAATGACAATCATCTGCATCTGTGCCAGGGATCCTAATGCAGTTGGTCACAGGTAGAATTACCACTAAAAGAAACTCACGGTTTATTTGGAATCTCAAAATGAATAAGCAGGGATCTGGTCTGGAGCAGAGATAGAGACTTCTCATCTGGCATCAGTTAGGTTTTCTTGGACCGTCTAATTTCTCCAGGGGTTCAGGATCTCACGGAGCCTTTCACGGACTGCAGCCCTGAAAAGAACAAGGACTTTAATAGCGTTAAAGAAGACTCATCTCAATTGAACCTAGAAATATTCAAATGTCAGAGAATTCAAATGGATGAGATATTTGGAGAGTTGAGCATGTGAGAGACAAGGTTACTTGCTTAGCTTCTTGCCTTTGTCCACTGCTTTGGATTTAATGTATCAGGACATGGGTGGTTGACAAGGGATTTTGTGCTGCCTCTTGGGCAGCTGAATTTATTCAAAGCCTGGGGAGTTAAGGAAAATATTGGGAAAGGAAAAGCTTTGAGGGTCATTATTTCTCAGGGACCACTGAATCACATGTTTTGGGGGTTATGGCAGCCAGAATGAGCTAAAGAAATCTGCAGTTACTGCAAGTTTGGGAAAAGAAGCACATGGCAGGCAGAGGTCTTCACTTCTCAGGATTCGGAAAGAGAAAGTTCTCGGCAGCGGCGCAGGCGAGGAAGCTTTGGCCTTATGTAAGGCTTGGGTAGGAGCATATGGCAGTATGTTGAACCTCATGATGGAAAATTTTTCCAATTGAGTTTAAGTGAACATGTTGTATACTCCAGACAGCTGGCATAGAGTAACTGGCACACAGGCAAATCCAAAGACAAGATGATTTTTTTCCCCTTCATACTTTTTTTTTCTTCTGTGCTACTTCCTCCACATAACAACACCAACTCTCTGCTTTGATCTATTGCTGGCTAAAGTAAGAGGGGAACATCGCTTCTATTTGTGAAATGCTTTTGCTGTGGGGATCATGTATAAATGGTGCTTATATGGGTCTGATGCTCTGATCAATCATCTTATGAGTCAGGTTGACTATTTGGCCCTTTGGGGACCTGGGACACATTAGATCTCTGGGGTTGGCCGAATCTACTCTTAGAAGGATTCAGCAGCTGTAGCACTTCCCTAGAAATCAGAGCAGCCTGCAACAGCCAGGCAAGACTGACTCTGAGCAGAATGGGAGATGGAGGAGGAAGGTATTTTAGAATTAGGCTTCTTTGGTTGACAAGGGAAAGGGGAGTTCGATTTTTATTTCACTTTTAGCTCTAATTTCTTCTAGGACTTTAGTAGGGAGATAAGTTATCTATTCTTGATATTGGGGAATCAACATTGCATTATTTTGATCCAGTTCCTAATCTTGGGTATGCTATTTTGGCTAGTGTGCCTGGATATTGGCTGAGGCATGAACTCAGCCTAAAATTCGGCTTGGCCTTTGAAATGTCCTTTTGTAGCCCCTCTGTATCCTACTGAAGTAAGAGCTGAACTGCACGGCTCTGTAGGGCCAGGAGATGATCCTCAGAGTCTTGTTGAGTATGGCACAGTGGCCCAGCAGAAGGAGCAGCGTGGCCCTGGTACTGCTGACCCCTTCTCTCTGGGGACAGCTGTGTCCTCGGCTGACCATAGGCTTGTCCAGCAGTCCAAAGGTTTGAGAGAGAACTGAAAGCTGAGGAGAATTTGGGGATGCCTGGCCACCTGGCGACCTGTTGGTGCTCATGCCATGTGGTAGTGCAGGGACATGTTGGCAGGAGAGATTCTGTTTTTTTTTCCACTCACATCTTTATCCACTCACCCTTCTGGAATGGAGAGGAAGGTGCTAGCCTACTAGGTGAGAATTTGAGACCCTCAGTTTGCCTCACAGCACTAGTGGGTGCAGTTACTGGGCTCACACTCCCGCCCCAGCATCTGGGCCAAGGGAGTGAGATGGTGGGTACTGGGAGATGACAGGAGGTATCCATGCTCATGTTGAGGAGTGTTCTATCCCAAACGTTGTCTAGAAGTATCAGGGCATGATGATAATATGAAGCAGAGGACTCTGGGTCAGTACTACCATTGTCTTTAAATTCTCTCCAGACAATGCACCCCCTATTGTGGGTACCAGGACAGACCACACCCACTGCCCTCCCCTGGTGCACCACTGGGTAGAGGCTCCCAAGGCTCCCCTCTCTTTCACCACATTATATTCCAGATCACTCCGCCCTCTCTATCTCTTTCTTGCCACTCTAGCTACCACCATCGCCTGCCCTCTCTTTTGGACTTTTTTTAAAATCTGAGATGAGTCTCACTCCATCTCCCAGGCTGAAGTGCAATGGCACCTTCTCAGCTCACTTGAACCTCCCAGGTTCAAGTGATTCTCCTACCTCAGCCTCCTGAGTAGCTGGAATCACAGGCACAGCTATGTGCCATAACTCCTGGCTAATTTTTTTTTATTTTTAATAGAGATGGGGTTTTACCATGTTGCCCAGGCTGGTCTCAAACTCCTGACCTCAGGTGATCTGCCCGCCTTGGCCTCCCAAAGTGCTGGGATTACAGATGTGAGCCACCACACTGACCTCTTTTGGACTTCTATAAGATAAGACCTCTCATTGTCCTTCCTGCTTCCTATTTGCCCATTTCATTCCATTCTCCTCACAGCAAGTAGAGTGAGAATTCCAAACTTAACCCCTGCCCCCCATAGTGTCCCATCACACTGCAAACCACATCCAGCATTTTTATGCCGGTCCTCAAAGCCCGGCTCATTCCAGCCCTCTGTTACCTCGTGGTCATGAGGCTATAGCCACACTGGTTGCCTTAATCAGCTCAGGCTGATTAACAAAATTCCACAGACTGGGTGGTTCAAAAAATAGGCAATTATTTCCTCACACTTCTGGACCCCAGATGTCTAAGCCAAGGTGGCTGCAAGTTTAGTCTCCTCACACAGTCTCCTCACAGGGTCTTTCCTCTGTGCACACACATCCCTGTGTCTCTTCCTTTAGGGACACCAGTTCTATTGGATTAGGGTCCCACCTTTATGACCTCAAGTAGCCTTAATTACCACTTTAAAGGCTCTGTCTCCAAATACAGTAACATTGAAGATCAGGGCTTGAATATATGAATTTTGGGAGAACAAAATTCAGTCCCTAACACTGGCTTCCTGCCCCCAGGACCCCTGCCCATGCTGTGTCCTCTGCTCATAGGACCTCTCCAGGTCTTGGCATGGCCAGATCTCTCTTGTCATTCAGCATTCAGCCTGAATGTCATATCTATAGAGTGACCCTCTGGCCACTGATCTAAATATCTGGCAGTCACTTGCCATCACTTCACCCATTTTGATTCGACCACAGTACTTGCTCTCTCCTGCTATTGATCATGTATCTCTGTGTTTGCTTGCTGCCTGCCCTCCTCCATCAAAATAAAAGTTATTTGAGAGCAAAGGCCCTGCCTGCCATGCCCACTGGTTACTACTGTGTTCCCAGAGGCACACAGCAGATGCCTAACAAACTTCTATTAAATGAATGAAACAAAATTGCCTTTGCCTTCTGAGTTAAACTGATACATTGATTCATAATGAGGTAAGTCAGACAGCTTTCCAAACTGAAAAATAAACTATCACTGGTGCCCAGAGAAAATCTTCCTCTGATCAAGCGAGCAGAGTGTAGCTCGAGGCCAAGTTGCAGGGCATTAGAAAGTTAAAACACTGGCAAAATTCTTGCGGAAGTGCCTTCCAAAACAAGTGAGATGGTTCACACCACCATCAGGAAGGCATGCATATGCTGGGCTCCCACCCTCTCACCAATGCCATGTGGGATCAAACTCATAAATATTTATCAATTTTTTGAGTAAAATGGTATCTTGTTTTAATTTTCATTTCTTTAGTGACAAGTAAGATTGTGTATCTTTTCATTTGCTTATTAACCCACTGTATTTTTTCCCTGCCACTTATCTTTTCCTTTACCTAGTTTTACATTTCTTAATTCATCGTTTACTTATTGGTTTGCTGGAACACTGTGAACCTAAAATAAAATGCCTTATTTGTCAAACTAAAAATACATGCGTACATTCTTTAAACCAGGAATTATGCTTTTAGGCGGTTAACCCAGAGATAGACATGCCTTAGTGCACGAAAATACATCTGCACAAGGAAGTCCACCACAGTTTTGGTGTAATGGCCGCAAAATAAAATCCACCCAAATGTTCATTACTAGGGACAGGTTGCCAAAAGCTGTTCCTATTAATGAAACTGTTCACAGTGGTTAATAGTAACAGCAAGAGAAGAGAGAGCAGGGGAGAAAGAGATCTTAAAGATTCAAAGGGTTTTTGGTTGTTGTTTTATGTTTTTTATGACTTTTTTTTTTTTTTTTTTTGAGACAGAGTCTCACTTTTGTCACCCAGGCTGGAGTGCAGTGGCACAATCTCGGTTCACTGAAACCTCCACCTCCCAGGTTCAAGCAATTCTCTTGCCTCAGCCTCCCGTGTAACTGGGGCTATAGGTGCCCGCCACCACTTCCAGCTAATTTTTGTATTTTTTAGTAGAAACAGGGTTTTGCCATGTTAGCCAGGCTGGTCTCAAACTCCTGACCTCAGGTGATCCGCCTGCCTCAACCTCCTAAAGTGCTGGGATTACAGGCGTAAGCCACCGCACCCAGCCTATGAATTTTTTTAAAGAGCAATTCTAGGTTCATAGCAAAATTGAGAGGAAGATAACAGAGATATCAACTATATCCCTTGCCCGAATAATGTGAATACAACCTCCCCCATCACCAACATCCTCCACCAGGGGAGTACATTTGCTGTAACTGATGAACCTACATTGACACATCACATCACTCAAAAGTTTATAGTATATTACAGGGTTCACTCTTGCTGTTCTATATTTCATGGGCTTAGACAAATGTATAATGACACATATTCATTATACATTTGTGTAATTACATTATCCTGCAGAGTATTTTCACTACTTTACAAGTTCTCTATGCTTGACCTATGCAAGCCTAACCCCCAATCCTGAGCCCCCTGGCAACCATGGATCTTTCTACTGTCTCCATAGTTTTGACTTTTCCAGAAAGTCCTATAGTTGGAATTATATAGTATTGTTTCATTTTTTAACACAAACCTTAAAGAAGCAAATCTCTTTCTGTCATCCCTCCAGCTCTCTGCAGATATTCAAAATTGCCAGTAGCTGTCCAGAGTTTTCTCCATTACCTGTTTCTTTGAAAACATTGAATACTTCTTTAAATTCTAGAATCAGTCGTGACTCATTAAGAAGTATTAATTTTTGCATCAGGCTGTTCCAAGCATAGCTGTGAGAGGATGTTTATTAAGGCTTGTCACTCTGCATGCAGTATCATGCCACTAAAGGCACATTACAAGAATTCTACCTGCATTCAAGCATTTCCGCACAAAGCAATGGCTCACATACGGTGTGAAAATTGAGTGTGCACAGCCCTCAAAACTTGGAATTCTTGCCAGAGTTGAAGAGGTTTCCACTGGAGCTAGCTGTTCTGAAAGTACTTGGCATCCAAGACAATTGTTTTTAGGTAGCCCCCTCTTGGCAGTCCAGGTGTGCATCCCCAGAAAAGTATGCGTGATTGCATCCTTGGCACACTCCTCACACCCAGGACCTGTGTTCAAGCCACCAAATCATGCTGGTTCCTAAGAGCACCTCTGCAAACCAGATGTCTCTTTGTATGGAACATGCTGGGAGGATGAGTGGGGCACCAACGTGGAACGAAGTGGCCTCTCCTGCTAGAAATTATACCAGTGAATGCACTTGAGGTGCAACTGCTTGATCTCACAACAGTGAAAGGATAAATGGACACAAATTTAGCTGCTTTTGATATATTGAAGACAGGCCCCTTCTTTTATTTATTTCTAAGTCTTAATGATGACAGGAGTAGAAAAGTGGAACTGTTATGACCACCCTGTGACTTTTGAGCTGGGCATGGCTTGGGGCACTAAAATTAAGAGTAGCATTGAGTCATCTACTCAACTCATTTCCAACACCATTTTCCATTGCACACTTTCAAATCTGCTCTGAAGAGCCACCCACACATCAGCTGAAAAAGATGAACCTCCCCTGGTCTCCACACCTCTCCCAGGTTTCCAAGTAGTCAGGATAAAGCCTGCCATCTATGGCCCCACTTCACCACTGTCAGGAATAAAGAGGAAGCCTCAGAGCACTCCCAGCAAGACTTCACACTCAGTGCCCTGCAACACTCCCAGCCTTCTCCTCAATGCTTACATTGAGAACTTCCAGGCAAATCTCATTTTGCCATTCTCTCATGTACATCAAACCTCACAAGGAGCCTGGAGCTCCCAATCAACTCTGATCTTCCTGGATTCTTATTCTCAATTATCCCTACAGTCTCCCTTTTCCCATCCACTCACCTGAAACCAGTCTACACTGTCTTCTGGAAGTCACGCTCAGCTGTTAGCTTCTTCTCAGAACCTTCTTTAACTTCTTGCTGTAAATGGACAGGCTCTCAGGAAACCACTTGCTTTTACCCAGCAGTCTGAAAATGGTGGCTGTGGTATCTTGCAAGGTCCTTGTAATGCCGGATCTGGAGGTAGGGGCAGGTGTTCTGCTTTCATATGCTGCTTGAACATCCTTTTTCCTGCCACAAGAACAAACAACACCACAAAGTTCTCATCTTTTAATGCCACATGTTTAGTCCTTATCAATCACTGTTCTAGCTTATTGCTGTTACCTACAGACCCACAGGTCACTCACCTAATTCCATGAAGATTTTAGCACCTAACTCACTGCCACTTCTCCAATGTATTTGGTAATGTCAATATCCATATATATGATCTTTCCAATATCCTAGACTCTTGGTTTTTTGAGGCCCTTTTCCAACTCTCACACTTCCCATCCTGCCTCAGCCACTCCCTCCCAAGGCCATACTCTAGCCTTGTCATTACCAGCAAAGTCATCCATAATTACAGTTTCAACCATTCTGTCTTTCCAGCTCACTCACTAATGCCCCAACTCCAAAACCTTTGACCCCCCTAGGCAGTATTAATCATTGACTACTTAAGCTTTTTTTGGTCCCTTAATTTCCTCCCCTATGTAGATTAGATTTGATGGTTTATCATCTCACACTCTTGCATATATTCTTAACAGTCTTGTTAAGAAGATTAACAAAGTCCCAGGCTAGGATAAATCAACTCGGTTTACTCTGTACACCAACAGAGATGGCCATGGCTGAAGAAAGCCACGCAGCTTGCTGACTGATCTCATTTTAAGTGGATGACCCCTACCTTCAAAAAACTGTCTAAGCTCCTCCCTAAAGCCAACCCTTCACTTGCATTCTAGATTCCGTCTCCCCTCTCTCACACAAACCTGACTCCTGAAACTTTTCCCCTCCCATTGCTCTCCCTACATCAAGAATTTCTTCCCCTCTATTGGGTCATGCCCATCAGTGTCAAGTGTCTTAAAGAGAACCCCCTCATTACCCTCGTGTTATCCTCTTTCCCCTTTACAGCAACATTCCATGAAATTTGATCTCCTCAGTTTTCTTCAAACTCAACCAGGCACACCCTTACCTCATGGCCTTTGACCTGATTTTTCTCCATTCTGAAGATCCTACGAGGCTGGCTCAGTCTTCTTTTTCATGGCCTTAATGAAATGCCATCTTGTCAATGACATTGACCAGCCCATTAAAAATTGCCACACCTGTTTCCCAGTGGCCAGCAGCTCCCACCTCTCAGCCCCACCGACCACCAGCTTCCACTCCTCTTCTCACCTTTACTACTCACAGTCTGAAATTCAGTCTCAGTTGAATTCTGGTAATAATTGGCATTAGACAAAACTAACATCTTTCAGACAGGGCTTCTAAGAATGCTCTTTGACCACATCTAAATTGGTTAAGGCCTTCCTAAAAAAAAACACATTTTAGATATTTTTTCACCCTCTTTGTTTCCACACTTTGTAATGAAGTTCATGACCAATTGATGGCTTTGTCTTCAGTGACATTTAAATGCCACTGGGTCTTGGAGACGGACAGATTTCTCTTGAGGTCTCTCCAAATGTAGCTTAATTCTTAATATTTTTGTGGCTTTTATTAATTTAAAAGACAGACATATAAAACCTACCTCATCTTCCTTTCTGTCTACTCATCCATCTCTATATTAAATCCTGCCTAGATAAACCAGGAAAGAAAAAGAAGAAAAAAAAATGGCATGTCCCTATCCTAAAAGAATCACCATGTCAGTGGTATCAGAGGAATTCCTATGTCATTCAAGAGATGCTCAAGTGCTCTTGAGAAATTCAGCAGTGGCTTCGAGCAAGATCCCTGGTACATAACATCACCTACAACACAGTGAACCAGAGGGGAATGAATGTAGCTGAATCCAGCAGACAGCATATGCTGTGTAGTACTCAGGAAAGAAAATAATCAGTCAAAGTGACAAAACCAAGGGATCACCCTGGAAATTGAAGGACATGAAATTTCTCCTCTGCACAGTGTCCAGATAAAGGAGAGGTCATACGAAAACCCCAGACATTAAAGATGGAAAAAATGATAATTAAAATATTTGTGGAACTTCCCTCTAGGACTCTTCCACTTTAGCTTATGGGGATAGTTGGTCAGAAATAAGAAAAAAAATAAAATCTCCATGTAAAAGATTTAACTGTAGGCAAATTTTACATAGCATGGTTTCTCTCTTTGAGTGATCTAAAAAATAAATAAATAAAGACCCACGGAGGCTTTAAGTGCTACAAGTGCCCCAGGCAGAAAGATCAGGCTTGGTTAAATCGTTGCATACTCCATCATTTGTGTATCATGTCATCGAAGGTGTCAGGGAGAAAAAGAAACGTGTCTCTTCCTTCGTGCTGACCAAAGTGGCAGAAATCGGTGTTCAGAACTGAAATGACGAACCCTTCAGATTAGAAGAATGCACATTAGAGCATTCTGACCTTTCAGTTCTCTTATGTTAAAATAAAATAAAACCACAAAATTTTAAAAAAGAAGAAGAAAAAATGCTAGGGCAATCAGATCAGGAAGACAAAATCTCTCCCCCTGGCAAGGTTCGGGAACATTCTGCACAGAAGTTCTCCACTTGTCAGAAGAATTTATTTTTCCAATTCCTTTCTCTTGGGGAGCAAGCATTTCCCCAGCAGATATGAGAATGACCTGATTCTCCCAAGGTAGCATACTCTCCACTGAAGCTCTGTTGCAGTCACTCGTAGAAAATTTCCTGTTCCATTATTGCACCAAATGAGCTCTGGGCTAATCAGACCCTCTAGGGAAAGGATAAAAAATAAAAAGCACCCTTCCCCTAAAGCGAGGCTCTGAGCTGCTTTGAACTACATTTACAGTCTTAATATAACCCAAGAGATTTCACAATTCACATGAGAAGCCAAACTCTTCTTCTAATGAAATATTTATTGGGTTTATCATAGAAAAAAGGGGAATATTTTTTGATGAGCATATTCTTCTATTTATCATGTTCATTTGAAGTGCCAGTGAGAGGTTTCAAAATAATTTTTTTTATTGTTGCTTGGGATAAAACATATAATTTTCACCATAAGCAAGATGACCGTAAATAGAATACAGTTCTTGCCGAGTACTGCCCAAGTGTTTGGTGAAGAGGAGGGAAATGGGTATCAAATGCTTCCTCCTGTACCTTACTGACTAAGCCTTACGTTGGCAACTCACCCCTGGTATGCACTTTCTCCTTTCTGCAGCTTAGTGAAGGATTTCGTCAGGCTCAAATAAAATGACACTAGCACAGAAAGCAAGATCCCAAAGCAGGCAACTAGGGAAAAACACACTCAGTGCTGCTGGCCCTTGGAGCCTTGAAAAGGCCAAGGGTTGCGGCCAAGGCAGTCCTGGTGTCCACCAAACAGGAAAGGGAGGGTTAAAAACTCCGCCAATTTCCTGGTCCTCTCTTTTGCCTAATAACATGTGCATCTTTAACCCTCACTTCATACTGAGAAAACATAATAGACTCATTATGTTATTACAAGCAGATACTCTTACTCTGTTTTTTGCTTTGGTGAAAAGTGTGCCGACACAGCACTGCATGTTCATGGGCTTCCAACTGCCACCTCTTCTCCCAAGGGGTAAGAAAGCTGTTATCACTTCCATGCTGATAATAGAAAATTTAGCACAACTGCCTTCCCATCTTTCAAACCACTTCAATATTTTAAAAACAAAAAACAAAACCCCCTTGACTCAAGAGGAAGAAAGAAAAGAAAACTTAGATTACAGTTGATCAGCTCTAAAAACAGTTGTCTAACGTCTCTGTGCAGCTTTTTTTCTTCCTGTAATTAAAAGAAAAAAATATTTGATGTCCCACTTTTGTCCTATCAATTATGAGAAAACTGAACCACCAACATCACACTCCTCCTCCTGTGTTTCTTGCTGGTCCCACCAGGCTGTTACTTATTTCTTCTTAGATATCAACTCTCACCTAATGAACAGGTGCTGTTGTGAAAAACAAGTTTAATTTATATAAACATTAATGTAATACCTAAGGAACTTGCTGAAAAAATAAGATATAATTTTTTTTTGGGTGAGGGAACAGAGTCTTTCTGCATCACCCAGGCTGGAGTGCAGTGGCACAATCTCAGCTCACTTCAACTTCTACCTCCCAGGTTTGAGCAATTCTCTTGTCTCAGCCTCCCAAGTAGCTGGAACTACAGAAACCCACCACCACACCCAGCTAATTTTTAGATTTTTAGTAGAGATGGGGTTTCACCATGTTGGCCAGGCTGGTCTCGAACTTCTGACCTCAGGTGATCTACCCCTCTTGGCCTCCCAAAATGCTGGGATTACAGATGTGAGGCACCGCACCTGGCCAAGATATAAATTTTAAGTGCTTCTCTGGTTCACAGTCCAAGAAACTACAGCTCACTGGGTCACGTAAATTCTTTGTCTTATTAAAATATAAGATTGTTATAAAAATATCATGGCACTATTTAGAATTTAGATAACACTTTTCCTTTTAGGAGCAGCATATCTGGAAACAGATGACCTTATTTCGTATTTATTACAGACTTGTATGTTAGAGGAGGTATTCTTTGCTAGTATCCCTGTATTATGAAGGAAGAAATGGGAGTCTTACAAACTCAAGCAGCCTGCGTACTAGAATGGAATTGAAGCAGCAGAGTTAAAATGCTGCATGGGAAATTCATAGAAGTAAGGCTACTCAGTCGTTCATTGAGTTCAGAGTTTGTAACAACCCCTGATGGTGCTAAAAACTTAAACCTCCAAAGTGTTCCCAGTCTTTCAGACCAGCACATTTGCCTAAAGCAATTTTCTGCCCCAAAGAAGGACCAACTGAACCAACTGAATTAGAATTCAATATGGTCCAATTAGCTAGGCTTGGTGCTGCTTGGTTTTCCTGGCATGTCCAGCTGGCAAGAATTCTACCCTTACTGGCAACATGGGGGATGGAAGGATTGTAGAATTAAGCTCTACAGGTAAAACAAAAACTGTTCTGAATATTCACATTTCCTTTCTTCGCCTCTCAAATGTTATTGCAAATGAAATTATGTCAGAGCAAAATGCTAATAAACCAAAGTGGATTTGTTTGTGTTTTTTTTTTCCTACCATGGGGAGCAGCCAGACGGCTTTACACTAGCTAGATGTGGTTTTCCAACCCTGGT